CTCAAGGCTGTATCTGGATTACTTCTATAAAGCTACAACAGAGAACCAGAAACCAAATTCTCTGTGCAAAAAAAAAAAAAAAAAAAAAATCACAAAACATACGAAATCCAAGTAAAGCCTCTGGAGAAAATCCTTCACCAAGAAAGGTACATCAACTGATTATACAGTCATGTTTAAGAAGAAAAAAAAAACCCTCAAAAAGCCACTTGGGGGTGGGCGAGATCCAACTTTCATTTTGCCTTAATGACATCTCAAGACACCAAGTGTCAAGTGATCCCGTCAATTCTCATTTCTACAAAAAAAGTACAAAAGTAAAAAAGACAAAAAGGATCAGACTTTGTCTTTTAAAATCATCATTATCTACGGTGATATGGCTTTTCATTTTGGAAGCAGCTAGCAAGCTATTTTTATGACAGCTCCAGCTGCCTGTGCGCAGTGTCAGAATGCCCTTCTCAGGAAACCTTCCGAAACCCTGACCCTTCTGCCAGCACATAATTGCATCTGACAGAGCCTGAAAACATCCGCACCTTTTTGCAGCGCCACCTTGACAACTTAGCAGTCGTTCCTGAGTGCACACTGGCGTGTCTGTGTGTCACTTCTGCATCGCGGCATAAACAAAGTCAGAAAGCAAACGCAGTCACTGCAATGTGAAACAGAGGCCACAAGAGTGGGTACCTGATGGCTATGGCAGATAAGCTTGTGTGTTCTACAGGTGGGAGTGGGTGTCGTGAAAGGCGATCAGTCTACTCAAGTGTTTAGAGGTTCAAGCAGCCCTATAGGGAACAGAACAGATCAATTTTGCTTGGCTGTGAGCCAGAAGCTGCCTTCTGCCAGATATTCAACCACACGATGTATAAAACTAAGCTTCAACTGTCGCATATATGAAACACTAAGGGGATTCCCCCAAAGGCAAATCTTGTTCATAAGAAGCTGTACAGAGCAAACTAGGGAAAGTGTAGACCATATTATCTAGGACAGGGGTCCCCAACCTTTTTTGCCCCACGGACCGGTTTATGTCAGACAATATTTTCAGGGACCGGCAATTAAGGTGTGGCGGAAATAATACAACAAAATAATATGGTATGAGCTGCATGAAAACTGTGGTGTTTTCGAAATATAATAATAAACACAAGGAGCGTCTAATCTGGCCGCAACACTCTGATCGCTATGGTCATGTTTAATGCCTTCAAAATACGATGCAATGCAAATTCAAAGTGCATGAAAATGACGACTCACCACAGCCCCGAGCTTGATTTTCTGCAACCAGACGGTCCCATCTCGGAGTAATAGGAGACAATGACACCTCAAGTGTGTGTTTTGCGTCAAGTCTACTTCGTAATTTTGTTTT